ACACCAAGAATTCATAGACTTGTATCTTCCTAGAAATGGAAGGGACCTTGCGAGGTCATTGAGTCCAGTCCCCTGCCCTCACGGCAGGACCAAGCACCATCTAGACCATCCCTGACAGGCGTCTGTCCAACCTGCTCTGAAATATCTCAGAGATGGAGATTCCACAACCCCCCTGGGCAATTTATTCCAGTGTTTCACCACCCGGACAGGTAGGAAGTTTTTCCGAATGTCCAACCCCAACCTCCCATTGGAAAAAAATTTTATTTCCTCTATTGATTCCTTTTGTCTAATGCCTGTATTGGATCACACGCTGGAGGAAATTCATCCAGACTGGGATTTTCAGCTAAGACACCGTTTCGGATCCTAATGACTAACAGTAAGAGTAGAGTGCCTAACTCCCTTAGGAACGTAGAACCTCTGCAGAGACTGGCACAATTCCAATACATCCCACACATTCTTCTTGTGTGGTCAAAATAGTAGTAAGGACTTATATAGGCCTATACATAAATAATAATAAAAATAATAATAATAATAATAATAATAATGTGTTGTCACAGCTAATAGTGTGTATTTGTGGTTTTGTTTGTTATTCTCCGATAGATTAGGGATGGGTTTTTGTTCTGTCTTTCTCACAAGGATCCCTATAATAATAATGCAAGGTAAGAAGGTGACCATATGATAATTTCCTGTGCTCCTCCAAGGTAACAAACGGGAGGTGAATAAGAACTGGAGCCAAGACTAGAATTGTAGGGAGGCTGTCTGAGCTGTAATGATTGAATTAAAATCCTTGTCCGTACCCTCGTATTCACCCCATGTATTACACAGAGACTCATTGCTCTGAGCTCCGCTGTTCTGGGGCCGCCGAGGCCCGATGGACAGGAAACCAAACACAAATCCGAGGGCCGTGTGTGTTTGGCTGTTCACGGAGGCAGAGGTTTTCCTGGCGTCTAAGGCTGTGGGAACGCAGCCAGGTCATTAGGCTAATTGCCTGCCTGCCTGCCAAAGACAGAAAGCAGCAGCGCACGTCCGGAGGGATCTCATTAGACAAAATGAGCCGGCTGGTTCCCAGCTGGGAACACCAGAGACAAAGCTGGCAGATCAATGGCGGATCCCCCCATCGCTGGTCAGTTCGGAGCTAATCGGCCAGTTGCTGCAGGGCTCCTGGCCCGTAACTGAATCCAGTGTGAAACCACGACCCCTCCCCTGCATTTCGCACTGAGCCCAAAGAACTGGGGTTTGTTTGTAGTGGGGGCACCACTCACCCCCTGCCGCCCCATTACCCTGGGCACTGCATCAGGGTGCAGGAAACGTACGTTCAACGAGTGAAACGTCCACCAGTGCCCACAGGACCGCGGAGCCCAAAGGAAAGATGTTATAAGCACGCAGGCTCCTGACTCCCCTTGGCTTCAGATTCCCAGGGCCAAGTGCCTGAAGGGGTTCTACTCCTATTGAATGTTTGGGGGATAGGCGCCTAAATCACTTGCAGGATCTGGACCCTAAGCCCTTTAAAAATGCCAAGAGGCGCTTAGCTGCATCTTTAGGCCTCTGAATACCTGTGATCATCTGGTCAGTTGGTGGCTGGCTCAGGATCCTAGGTGCCCAAGTCACTTAGGTCCAGATACGTAAAAGCATTTAGGAGCCGATGTCACATTTATTTCCATGGGCTTTAGGAGTCTAAATACCTCAAGCTCCAGCGAGCCCAGTCAGAGGGCTACAGCTCAGCTAACGCTTGCGGGCTCGTTACGAGGGACTCAGCTCAGTCAGTAGCAAGGGTGACGGTCACTCTGCTTGATGCCGGGAGCGTGGGGGCGAGTCTGCCCCTCCCCCGGAGCTGCACAGCCTGGGGAACAGACTCTCTGGGGCCTCCTCGGCTGGGGGAAGAGGTGGGGTGTGGCGAAAGAAGGGCCTGGGAGTTTCTCTTAGTTATCCCGGCCCATCCCTGGGAAGGACCCCCCGACCCACCACCTCTGCCTAAGGCGGCTGCGGAAGCTCCCTCCTCGGAGATTTTGGAGAGCGGGTTAGACGGACGCCCATCGTCTAGATGATCACTAGCCCCCGCATGACTGCAAGGGACAGGTCCGCAGGGTTCCTTCCTGTTCCGTGAGCCTGGGCCGTTCACATCACAAAGCCTTTGCAGGCGGGAGGCCGATACTCTTATGCCAGCCCCAGCCAAACGACCCTCGTGTGGCCTCCTCGCCCGAGGGGAAAGACGCCTCTGAGCTGAATTATTTCTTCACTTCTCGGGGCTGCTTTCATCGCCGTCCCTTCTGGGCCTTCTTCAGCAGAAGTGCCCGGCTTCCAAGAGATTTCCAAAGGACTCAGGTGCCTAACTCCCTTGGGCTTCATTGAGAATCCCAACGGCTGGACTTTCTGGATCAGGCAGTGGTATCATGGAAGCTGCTTTATGGGAGATTAAGTCCCGGCTTGACCAAGCCCCGGCTGGGATGGTTGAGTTGGGTTGGTCCTGCTTTGGGCAGGAGGCTGGACTCGGTGACTCCTGAGGTCTCTGCCCACCCTGGGACTCTAGGATTCTAAGTGTAACCCTTCTGCCGGGTAGGCCTGGCAGTAACCAGGGCTGGGTTCAATATCTTGGGGTCCATCTCACACAGAACCGGCTCGAGCCCCCACCCAGTAATCTGGGAAATTCACGCACCCCTGGGTGCCTCTCAGAGCAATGCTTCCCCACTCGCAAGCACTGAGTCTGAGTGTAGGAAAAAAACATTTAATGAAACAGAAAGAGAAGTCATACGGCATTAACTTGGGGAAAACACCACAAACAGAGTTCAGAACCCAAACATGAGCCAAGCCCCCACCCCAGCCAAGAATCGCCCGAGGTCCAAAGAGTCCGACACCCCAAAAGTCTCTGTCCTTGGTCCGTGCCACCCAGAGTCCCAAAGTTCACCCGCAGGGCTTCACCTCCCAACCTGGGTAGAAATGGGGGTGGGGGGATAGATAGGAGGCACCTTATACGAAACTCCGCCACGCTCCACCAGCTGTCTCGTTCCACGCCTCTGGACGCTCCACTGGGCACCAGCCACCGCTCCACGCCATGCAGCTGATGGCCGCTCTTCATCTGCCGCCACTCCTCGCTATGCCTCTGGTCGCCGCTCCTCACCTGCTGCCGCTCCACGCCACGCCACTGGTGGCTGCTTCTCACCTGCCCCTCCC